GACTTACTGCAAAATATGTTTCCATCTGGGCCTCCCCTGTGCTTTAGGCACCTGACTCCTCATTTCAATTAAATGTCTGTATTTGATTGCCTTTCTATCTGTCTTTCTCATAACATGGATCTGAAAATTAGTATTTTAGGAAAGGAATAAAAGGCCACGAGCCACCACATAACATGGGCTGCTTCATACTTCATTATTGCCACCGTTCCCCTGGAGCTATGCTGCTGTTTCCCCCAGCAGATACAAAAAAGACAGACACACAGACACACAGACAGACTTTCATATATATTCTGCCTTTTGAGTATGATTGGTCACCGTTGGGGTCCTCACTGGGAGAGGTAGTGGTGGCCCTTCTGCTGTTTCCATGCACTGAACTTTGCAGCTAAGAAACTAATGCCTAGATTTTTTTTCCTTCTCCTTCCTGATCCCCTTTCCTTTTGTCTCATATTTTTAGATTGTAAGCCTGCAGGTGAGAATCTCTTACATCTTTGTAAACTACTTTGGAAGCTGTTATGGCTTGAAAATGCTATAAATAAATAAAATAGGGCTCAGTGTGACTAACAACAATAAAATAGAAGGTAATGTTTGAAAATAAAACATAAAAGTAAACATATTTTAAACCATATAAATAAAAACGAAATGGACAGAACCCACCAAATTCTTTTAAAAGTTAAAGGTATGTTTCAATCAAAATTTCTTTCTCTGTTGGCAGAAGGGTAACAAAGCTGGCCTGGAATCTCTTGGCAGAGTTCCAGAGCCTGGGAGCACCTGCAGAGAAGGTCTTCTCTCATGTTCCTTAGAAATTAACCTCCTGTGATAGTGTGACAGACAGAAGAGTCTCTCCCAAGCATTTGAAAACTAGGAGAGACTCACATGGAAGAATGCAGTTTTTCAAATAGCCTGCCCCAAAATCATGTATGTCATAAACTAACACTCTGAATTGTGCCCAGGAATGGACTACTAGCCAGTGAAGAAACGAAGCTGCCACCTGCTCCCCATAACCAGCCTGAGTCCATAGTCTAGTTCAGAATTTTGGACTAGCTTAAGTTTCAAAGGTGTGGCCATGTTGGGCATCCATCAGCATGGGCCACCATCTGATATCCCTAGGAGTAGGCGCAGGTGGCTTTAACTGTGCAAACACATTCATGGCCACAGCTGAAACCTGAACATCCACTTTTCAGAGCTGAACCAAAACTGAATCTTCAAGGGAAGAATAACCGCATCCAATGCAGTCCGAATCCCTATTCTTTGAACTGCTGACCAGGAGCACCTCTGCCTTGTCTGGATTAAGCTTCAGTTTGTTCATCCTCAGCAAGACCAAATTAAACATTGATTTAGAATTTGAATAGCTTTCATGGATTTTAAAGCAAAGGAGAGATAAGTCCTATTCAGCTATTTGATTTTTTCAGGATTCCCAATTACAGTGAAAGTTCTACTTGTGTTCAAATGAAGGAGAGCAGAACTCCTGTTCAGACTTGCCTTTCAAGGTGGTTCAGCGTGCTGATGGCACCAAGCCCCCAAATTTCTGTTGCCCTTTCCCAATGGCCACGGTACCAAAAACGAGACTCCCAGCAGATCATTCTTAAACCACCCTTCCAAAAAGATCTGGAGCCACTGTATAACAATGACACCCTGTTCCAATTCAGATAGCTGCCTCAGAAGGTTACCATGACCAATGGTATCAAAGCTACCAAGATGACCAGCAGAACTGACAAGCACACATTCCCCTGTCTAGTACAGAGCATTCATCAAGGTGACCAAAGTAGTGGCTTGCCTGACACCAAACTGAAATTGATCAAAACAGTTTATCTTACTCAGGAAACCCTAGAACTGAGTCAGCACGCTGTGCTATAGCAACTTCCACAAGACTGGAATGTTACAGACTAGCTGAAAATGATTCAATATGGTAGAGTTCTGGGAGGGGTGTCTTCTAAAAGCCCCCTTTTCTTTCAGGCATGAAGGGATAGCACCCAGTTATAAGGATTCATACACCACAACCCTTACCTATTCAGCTAATTGTCCATGGTCATTTTTATATACCGGGAAAGTTAAGCGTCAAGCAAACATGTCCACATCCTTGAGCTGTGCAAATACAGAACTCTCCATTATAATTGGATAAATGGGTCAGTCAATGTTAGGTCAACTGGATCTGCACCAACCATGTACCCCTATCAGCACAGATATAAAAGATGTTGCATGCAAATTGGTCACAACAGGCTTATAGGGTGATCTAAGTTTCCTGCTCATAGACCAGAATGCAACATGTTGGACCATGCAAAAATGCTCCATTGGACAACTTTGTACAGATACAGTGGTGGCAGAAAAATAACTTCACCACCACTTTTTAATGTTAATATTTTCTATTGTTTTAAACTGTTGTACAATGCTTTAATGGTTCTTTAGCAGATAAGGCCAGATCCTGAAGATGAAACTCAAATACTTTGACCACCTAACGAGAAGGAAGGACTCCCTGGAGAAGAGTCTAATGCTGGGAACAATAGATGGCAAAAGAAGAAGGGGATGGCAGAGAATGAGGTGGCTAGATGGAGTCACTGAAGCAGTTGGTGTGAGCTTGAGTGAACTCTGGGGGATGGTGGAGGACAGGAAGGCCTGGAGGAATGTTGTCCTTGGGGTCGCGATGGGTCGGACACGACTTTGCGACTAACAACAACAACAAAAGCAGATAACAGCAGTATATAAATCTTAATCATCATCTTTACCATCTACACTCAAAGATGTACGACAGGGAGTCCATATTTGACCAAACATGTCCTCCTTTTTGTTTAGGGGGTCCCGTTTGTCATTCATATTGTCCTTTCCTGTGGAAAAAGTCAATGCTGCAATGGAAAACTAACTACCATATAGAGTGAAGTGGTTCCCAGACATTATCAGAAAGTAAGCAAGGAGAAGTGGGACAGTCCTTCAGAATGTATGAAATCTCAGCAGTAATTTTCTGTGCTTCAAAAGAGAACCATGACCAGAGTGAAAACTTGGCACTTAAAAAAGAATTGGTCAGTGGGAATCATTATTCTCTGGAAACAGACACACCAGGGTTGTTTAAAGAAACATCCACTGCTAAATCAAATGTGCAGGATGAAGTCTCAGCCACAATTACGGATCTCCCTCTCTCCCTCCCATTCCCTCTTTCACACACAAATGCACACCGTTATTATATAAAGCAGCCTTCCCCAAACGTGAACTCTCCAGATGTGGTGGGCTACAACTCTCAGTGTGCCGTTGCCTGCTAGCCAGCCAGCCAGCCAGCCAGCCAGCCAGCCAGGGGGTGCTAAAAGCATGTAGTCTGACACACCATATGGGCAAAAAGTTGTGGATGGCTGATATACAGGAAATTTGGGCTCACTAAGAGTACAGTGGTACCTTGGCTCACAAACTTAATCCGTTCCAGGACTCTGGTAATGACCCAAATTGGTCATGAGCCAAGTTAAATTTCCCCATAAGGTTCAATGCAAATAAGGTTTATCTGTTCTGTAACTATTTTTTAATCAGAAAAATGTGAAGTGACAAAGAACAACAAAGATTGTGGCCATCTCCCCACCCCGCCCCCCAGCACGGCCACAATGGTGCCCGTCATCCCTGCACACACCTGTCATCCAGGCACGCTGAGGGAAGAGACGGGCGCGATCGCGGGCACTCTGGCGGGGGAGTGCATCTCTATGTGTTTTACACTGGATGAGGCCATTGGTCCAGGAAGCCCAGCTTTCCCCAGCCTAGTCCCCTTCAGGTGACTTGGATCACATATCCCATCAGACCCAACCAGTATGGGCAGTAGTTGAGGATGAGGGGAGTTGTAGTGCAAAGTCACCTGGAGAACACCAAGCTGGAGAAGGCCCAATATGGTCTGATGCAGCTGATAGTGATTCTCCAAGATCTTAGGCAGGGATATTTTGACCTATTTGGCTAGAGAAGACAGGAGTTAACCACATACAAACACATGCTCTGCCTCTGGGTTTCCATTCCCCTCACTTTCTATTTGTCCATTCAACATAGTAGTGCTTGATAGCTCAGGTCCTGCCCCCACTCCAGACACACAACATGCACCCTTTTGAATCGGGGATCATTTTCATCTGAAACGTGCTCACCACTGAATTATGGCCCCTCCCCAAATCCTGAGGATTGTTTCCCACAACTACCAGATTCCACCCTTCCTTCCTCCTCCTGTAAAGAATGTCCTTTATACCAGAATATCACTGCTCTGAGAATAGTAACAGATGCCTCATTGAGCGGGAAGAATACATTTCATTCATTGTAAGAGAGCTGCATGTATCAAACATTGCAGATCTGCAGAATCCCTAGTTTGGGGGAGTTTCACCTGGCAACCCTTAAGGAGGAACCATACTTATTTGCATAGCTGCTTTTCTTCCCTGAGCAATTCTCAGGACTGTAATACAAACAGAGCAGAGCAGAAGACCAGCAGCAGACATATACTAAGGGCCCTTCCAGACAGACATCTCCTAGAGCTGCCTATCAAAGGCCACTCTGTAACTGTTCCATCATTCACTCCTTAGCAGCTTCTTGAGGGTAAGAGACAGGGAAGCAGAAAATGAGGTGGGAAAACACAGCAAGACATTGTCTTGAGCATTTGTGGTAAAATGTCATGAACAGGACAGGGAGACTGGATGAAAAAAGCTCATCTGGAAGCTCCCTACCTCCTAGTGCCAGGTAACAGATGCTGGAGAATTTGAAGAACTGTGTTTTCTGTAACCAGTGTAAAAACTTGTGGTCCTTCACATATTTAGGACTACAACTCCCATCAGTCATCCCAAATTACCTGGGATGATAGACAGTGCAGTCCAAAACACCTGGAGGGCACCTGCTTGCCTATGCCTCAGTGAGATAAGCTTTAAAGAAGTCTGATCCAGTGATTCAGCTCAAGAGCAAGCAACGTCTAAAGAAAAGGCTGAATAACCGCTTCTGCCTGCAAGTGGGCAGGGCGGGGGATGGAAGGGGAGAAATATGCGGAGAGGATGTCCCAGACTCACAGATCTTGGCCAGGCTGGCCACGAGAATCCAGAGGGCGATGATGTACGGGTCCTGGACATGATGCCATTTGAAAGTGACGACCTGAAAACTCGGGCTGCCGCCGCCGTGCCCTTCCGACGAGCTCTCTTGCGTTCCTGCCGCGGCGGGCAGCAGCAGAAGCGTCCAAAGCAGCCCCCAAGGGTGCGCCAACCTCATCGCCGCCAAACCCGTTGGTGCAGAGACTTTCAGAAGTTGGGCTCCGAAGGACTGGGAGCCAGAGTCGCCCGCTGGTTGATGCGAGAGTCCTCCTGAGCGAGACCGCTTAAGGCTCGGGATGTCCAACAAAATTCAGAGGTGCCCGTCTGCCCATCCCAGGCTGGCGGAGTCGGAGGCTCTGAACTTAGACGTCGCGGGATCGCACATGTCTGCCCCGCTGCGCTCGGCCGGCAGGGGTCGGCCACTCCACGGCCACTGCGGCTTTATGCGTTTGTCCCCTCCTCCTCCCCCTCGTCCTGGCAGCGGCCCGGAGGCGGAGTTCCTGCCGCCATCCCGGAGAGCCATCCCGTCCAAGATGCCCACCCCGTCCCAGATCCCCAGTCGGGCAAGCCGGAGCCGGTCGCCGCGGAGCTTGCGACACTGAGGGGCCAGGCCGAGTTTGCGGAGCAGAGGCCCTGCTCTCTGTGGAAGGCTCCTGTGAGGAGCGTAGCCCGAACCTGTCCTCGCTGCGCCGAGCGTCGCCGGGGGACGGCAGGCAGATGTGGCGACAGGTGCCGCCGACTCGCTCGAATTTCGAGCTACCGCGGCCCGTTTCTTTTCTGGATTCAGACTCTCAGCGTGAGACAAGGAAGGAAAGAGGCTTTGCAGGTCTTTCCGCAGAAGGAAACACGATCGCGCTTTGCCACCCGGGCGGTCAGCAGCTCCGCCCGCCCGGGATCAGTGCTCATCTCCACGTGGTGGTGGTGGTGGTGGTGGTGGGGAGGGGAGGCTGGACGCACCGAGTTGCGTCCCCTTGAAATTGGCCTTTTTTTTTTTTTTTTTTTTTGGACATTTTAAGAAGTCACCGGCTTTTTCCCCCCCGCTGTGTCTCGCTTGCAGCTACGGTGAAGCTACGCGGCGATACCTCCAAGCCCAGGTGCCTCCCCGTTCTCACAAACCCGTCGGAAAAGAAAAAAAAAGCGCGTAATCTCTGAGTGGAAAAACACTCTGGAGCCATTATCACGTCCGCCGACCTCCCCGGACAAGCGATTTCAGCCCTTGCGTTGGAGTTCAAACATCGAGAGGGCGATAAGGGGAATGCGCGGAAAAAGCTTGAGGGAGGACAAACTTGCCGATAGGTCTCGCAGGTTAAAAAAGTAATCAATGATTTTGGAGATCCTTTCAGCCCAAGTAGCTGATTTATTGTTTGACATACAGAAATTCGGAGTTAGCTCCCTCACGTTTTAATCCTCATCTGTTAACACTTAAAGAGTACATTGAGCCCAGGGCTGCACATACATCAGACCACGGGCCCTGGAGCATCCCAAAGACTACGGGTGCACTGCCAGGCTAGCCTAGACCGTATGAAGGCCTACGACTCCCAGGATGCACCAATCAGCAGGGCCCTTTTCTGCCTCAGCCTGCATAGGATTGTGCTTGAGATGTTTATTCGCTCAGTTACCACAATATTCCGTTGCTTGTATTGCAATAACAGGGCTACCCTTCACGAAATTCTCGAAGCCAAGTGATTCCTACAGTGACCTTCACAATCAGTTCTGCAGCCCTGAGGGGGATGCGGTGGTAATGGCTTGTTTGCCCAAAGCTGTTTGGCAGAGGCAACATTTGCACCAAGGTCTGCAGTCTCGCACCCTGCAGTCAGCTGCAGGTGTTCCCAACCACAATAATAAGCCTGCTTGCTAGGATGCTTCCACACCCAGGACTACTAGTCATGCTAATTAGAAGGCTTTAATCAGCTATTCCATCTTTTTCTCCAGGAATGGATTAGAAGTGGTAGAAACGAATAGAGGAAAAGAATGATGTCTGGGTCACCACCACCCCATAAAGTCCAGGAGTTGGCAGAGCAATGGCATGATAAAAGCTTAATCTAGAATTATTATTAATTAAATCTTTTAGATCCCTTTCCCCAAAAAGGGCCAAACAGCCCTAGAAAACTTACAATGCAACTTAAACATCCAAAATGTAAAAGAACAACAATTATCCATTAAATACAACCACCCAATAAAACAACTAAGAGACCAGTAACAACCATAAACAATTTGTTTGAAGCACTGAACTGGGATTTTTTTTAGGGGAAGCATCCCATACATAACATTGCAACTTAATTGAGAATGTTTCAGAAGGAAGCCCAGGGCATTTGATCTGGGCCAGGTTGTGTAAAGCTCTGTTTCAAAGAGACCTAGATCTTCCTTTTAGTTACTGCATGCTTTGCCACTGGCCTTTTGTACCAGTTGCGGGGCTCCTTGCTTTAAAACATAGCAAGGTAAGCAAACATCTGTTATCACATCATCTCAAGGTGATGATTGGTTGCTTGGTTGCTCATCATCATAGATAATGAGCAACCACAGTCGAAGTCGCCTTAATATCATTCAGGAATTAGAGTTAACATCTGTGGTTTCTTTCTCTCTTTAATGTTTTAAAACTCCTGTAAGGAGAAGTTCTTAAGTAGTCTTGGCAACATGCAAGCTACATTGGTACCATTTCCAGCATGACTGTTATCCTTTCTGATCCTGCAAGGGATCCTGGGATATATCACTTGAGTCAGGTTCTGCTTCATTTCCATTGTTGCTGCTGCTGACCCAATTAAAGCTGTGTATTATGTTTTTGATTTGGAAAGGGAAACAGTGAAAAGCTAACCATTCTAGATGTCCTCATATTATGGACCTTTTAAGGGTACTGCTGCTGAAATACAACCTTGTTATAAATGAGTCTTCTATCCAGCTGGGTAATGAAACTGTTCCAGGAGTTATCCCAGCAATTATAACATTAATCCCCTCTGTACCTTCAAAGATATTTATGAGTTTGGCCCATGGTTTCTTTCTGCCATTCTCTGCAAACCTCTAGCCTCCATCCTGCTCTACAACCTGCACTGCCCAACAGAGCCCTGCTCCCTTAAACATTTCACAATTTCTTCCTTGCTGTACCTGATGTTTGGAACAACACCCCAATATACCTGAATAGTGCCACCTCTTCTGTCAAGTCTTTGGGTTAACTTCTTAGTTCTCATCCCAAACCAAAGCTACCTCGTAATTATGAGCACATGCAATTACTTTAATTTTCTCTATTTTTCCTCCTTTCCCTTCTACCTCATTGTTGTCTTCTCAACAGTTGGAGTTTAAATTGTAAGATGATGCTAGTAATGGTGACAATCATAACTAAAATTTGTGCAGCATGCACAAAAGAAACAACATGTGTACACAACCACACTGGGTTCACATCTTCCAAAAATGGTGTTTTTCCGTACAAGAGAATTCAATTCCATCGAAGCTAAAACTGATTTCACAGTGAGTGCTAAAATCCAGGAAAGAACACTCACAGCATTGAAATGGTACATCAGCCTCCAACCTCTGATGCTCCCAGATATTTTGTGCTGCAATTCCCACCAGCACCAGCCAATTTCCAGCTGAGGATGATGCAAGTTATAGTCCAAAACATCTGGAGATTGGAGAACACTATTGGTATATTACAATACTGTGGGCATGCAGAAAATGTAGGATGCAGCCATAGCAGAGTATTGAGTATGCTGGCAGCATCCTATTTCATTTTAAAAGGAAATTTCTAGTTGTGGTTGTGAAGATTTACAAAACAACTCCTGAAATCTCAGAAGCCAGAGTGAGTCACCTTTCCAGTAATCAGAGCTGGGCTTTGGTGGCTGGTACATCATCTCCTTCTCCCGCCCAACACTCCAAATGCACAAACACATACAATCAGGACAAAGTATGCAAAAATAATTTTAAAATGCAGCCTAAAGCAGGCACATAAAAAGTATTCAAATATCCTTAATTTATAGGTTGCAAGATTAATGTTTTTAAGAATAGAATTTGAATGGTGTGGGCACAGAACAGTTATTCTGAGTATTCTGGGAAGGCAAGTTTTGTTTTTCTTTTCCAGATAAAAGCGAGAGGGAATGGAGCAGAGAGGGGAAAGTTCTCCCATATTCAGTACTTTCACAAGCGCATTTCAACACAATCAGCTTGTAGCTGGGATGAAGCAGTGGAAATCAGATTTAATTATCTGTCTTGATTCCTTATCAAGTGTTAAGAAAACAGTCTGGAGGCTTGCTTGATCTGAGGTCAGACATCTGCATCCCCAGCAGCAAAATGTTGTGGGAATGCCCTCATTCCTAGTAGAGAAAGCATTCATCTCTCTGGACCTAAGAATGTCCCTTGTTTCGCTCCGTATTGTTTTATGGACTTATTTATGCTATGCAAGACACAGTATTGTCAAATCTGATAAGTCTTGGTCTCAAGCCAGGGTTGTGACCAGCTCTGAGGGAAACAACCTAGAGCCTGAAGTGCCTGTCCCAGTTACAATCATGCTTAGCATTTCTGTAACAGTTTTGTGTTCACAGTTCACTTCTCTGATGTCAGTAATCCTTCTAATACCCCTAAGGTTAATTACCTCTGTATTGGCACTGTGTGTCAGAGGCTACACAAAAGTGGGCAGTGTCCACAACAGTTTATGCCAGAATAAATGTATTAGTGCGAGCATAGGTGTTCAGCCTGGATGAGGTTGCACTCCCCTTTCAGAAACCAGTTTACCATTTAGGGATGACTCAGCATTGCTCCTGGATTGTCAGGTGACCTCTAGCTCTAGGAGTACTTTTGCTCAGTTTCAGATCATGCACCACTTGTGGTCTTTCTGAGGAAGGTGGGTCTATCTAGTTATACATGTTCTGCTTATTGCTAGGTGGAACTAGCAGATTGGGAAATGTAAGTTAGTGAGAAAAACAGCAGATGGCCAGGAGATGGGTTTTTGTGTATGATTTTGTAGAGTCTCAGTTTATTTCTGGACTCAGTTCCAAATGTTAGTTCTGGCCTTTAAAGCCCTATAGACTAGCACCTTCTTATGAGCCTGCCCTCGTGCTTTGTTAATTGGGGCAGACCTGCTCTTTATTCTTCTGTCATCTGAGGGATGATGAATGGTGAAGGGCTTTTCAGTGGTGGCACCCATGCTTCTGCATTCACTGCCTCTGGAAGCCCAATTGATTTTGCCTCTTCCTG